AGTTTTTATATCCCAAACTATTTTGCAAAATGCTTCCAAATAACACAAAAATGTCTCATTGCTTCATTAATTAAAAATGTATAAATTCAAGCACGACGCGATTGAGCTCATCATATTCATCCTATATAGAACAACCAATGGTCACATAAAAAAGAACTAGATGATTTTGTGTAACATTAAGTCCTCATTTGAGCCCCATTCTTCTAAAAATTCATTTTTTCAAAACTCATTTTCAATTACACATTTTTCAATAAAATATTATTACATGCAAACCCAAAATTTTTCCTTAATTTTTAACCACACATTCTCCATCAATCTATTATTCAAAATACATCATTTTCCCCAAAATGAGGTTCAAACAAGGGCTAAACTAGTTTGTGATTGAAACTACCGAATAATACCCCTAGGCGAAGCAAGCAAAACTGTAGCGTAATCTCATTGGATGTGCATTACGTAATCTTAAAATTGCCTGAGGGGCTACTCAAATTAAAGCTAAGTCAAAATCTAGTACAACAGTATGCTCGTTCATAAGGTTCATGAATCCTAGGTGTTTCTTGTAAATGAATCTAAAATTTTCTTCTCATCAAAGGTGTCAATATCACTCTTCTTTCTTGCTCGATTTTACAGCATCAGCTTCTTCAGAGCTAGTAGTTTTAGACTCGTCGAACTCCAACAACTGCATGGCACAATAAATTATTCAATATCAGCTTTTTGTGAGCTCAAAATGTATAGATTATTACATGTCGAAAATTGTGGAAATGCATCAATGTATACCACACACGCACACAATCCTTGTTTTCTGGGGGAAGATTAACATATTCAGTTGAAAACAAGCACCATGTTGACAATTCAGTTTAACGGTAGCAAGTTTGGAAGAGAAGTTATTCATTGTCTATGGTGGGATTTGGTCTTAGTGAAACAGAGCGTAAATCCATACGAAAATAACCGAGCAGGGGCACACCAGTGTAAAAAATTGGCCATGGAAGATGGGGTTTATCTGAAGTAAAGAAATATTGTCCATATAAATTTGGAACTGCTA